AAATTGTGGTGTGAGATGCGGAGGCCAAAGACGGAAAACTGTGGAGACGCGGAAGTTTAAGGGGCAGATGGTAAAAAATATGAACATTGTGAAAAAGGAACAGTACAGAGAGAAACATCAGGGAATGTTAAGAAGGGTTCAGAGGCCAAAAGTAGGAAATGCTACAGAAAGGTGTGGTAGGATGCGGCTGGCACCTGAGGGGTCATTGGTGACCTTCAGGAGAGCAGTTTCAATGGCAGGGTGACAGACTGCATGGCTGGAGGAGTAAATCAGTGGTGACAGGACAGATGGAAGATTATTTCAAAACACTTGTCAGTTGACAGATGAAGGGCAAGGCTGCAGGTCTTGCAAAAGGGACACTACTACCTGCCACTTTCTAGCTACTGTCTCCACCTATAATCTCTGCCATTCAGACACGGCTTGTCTGTACCTCTATTCGTTTATCTTTATTGTATGCCCTTCCTTCCTCAAAATCCTTCTTTGGCCACCCACAAGGTAAACAAGATAAAGTTATTTTAAAGAGCTCTTTCTTTCTTGAACTCTTACAGGTTTTGACCACAAGATCTACATCATGAAATGTAGCTAGAAGGAACCTTGTCGCTGGTTTCCAAAAATCTTAAGCAACAGAATCCTTTTTAAAAAAGAAAAAAAAAAGAAAGAAAACACCACAGTATTATGTTAGAACCTAAAAATGTAAGGCCTAAATATGTTATATATAAATATATGTTTTAATTTTATAACTTTAGTAAATACAGTTAAGACAGCTTCTTATAAAATCAATTCATTAGAGCAATTATGATATTCTGAAGCACACAAACATTTGAAAATGGAATTTACAAAAGGCAGATGCTGTCTGATATCTAAATCCAGTGCTGATTTATTTTCCTTATTTTGTTTTGGTTGGACATTATGAGCAAACTTGATGGTTCAGGAAGATAAACAGAAGTATACCTGCTGGTACCATTTTTTTCTGAGCAGATAGGCACACGACTGAATTTTACAAAGACTACTAAGGAGCAAAAATCACAATCCATGAAACACAGGCAAGAAATTGAAATGTACGCAGAAAAATGGCTGAAGAAACTTTAAGGCTTCCTTCAAAGAAAGTTCCAGCACAAGTTTGAACTCTTGGAGGTCTTTTAGGCACTGCCCTGATGCCTGGAACAGGTTAAGCACACGATGGTTTCTATCCCAGGTGGAATTAACTGAAGTCTATTACGTACACAGAGGCCAGGGCAGCTTCTCTGGCCAAGGACGCAGCTGGGTCTTAACCCACCACACACATTGCCCTTTCTGGGCTTGAGACAAACTATTTGGACATGGTTAGGAGGGGCTGAGGCTACCTTCGGCTGGGTGTCCCCTGTCCTCCCTTGTAAATTGCACTTCTGGAACCCCGCACAACTCTGGTCCTTTGGTCTGCCTCTTGTAGAATCCATCCCTCAGCCTCATCTCTTCTAACTACTGGCAGCCTCATTGCCTGGCCCACTCTCCCATTTGTCACAGGTTTGCTGGCTGCCTCTCTCTGGGCTGGGCTGGCCTGAGCTGTGGCATTTCCCTTTCCTCATTTTCTTCCTCATTAGGCAGATTATATGTTGTCACCTCCCTGCCACTTGGGTGCTTCCAAGTAAAACCGTATCCCTGGTTTTAGTCAGCTCATTAGTGCTTTAAAACATGCTCTTGGTCACCCTCAGACCCTGTTTGAAGTGAAGCACGAGTTGCACGAGCCTGGCGGGGTGGGGGTAGGGAGTGTGTTAGCCATAGAATCGGTGACTTGGAAATCGGTCTTTGAACTCCTGAAGCTCAGAGCCCAGCACTCTCAGGCTGTGATGGAGAGGAATCCCGCATCCTCATTTTCTCCGTGGGGTTACCGGGACCGCTTTGTGGGTGAAGAGAGAGGCAAGTCTAATCCCAAACCAGCAAGAATTTCCAGCAGGTTGCATCTTTCACATGAAGGCCAAAAATTCATGTCAGGAGCAAAGTCAAAAGAGGAGACAGTATGGCTCCTGGTAACAGCCTTGTATGGCATCCACTGTGGCCCCGGTGGCTGCACCTGAGGGAGCCGGTGAAATGCAGGCGTGACGAGGCCACAGGCAACAGACTCCCCGCCTGAACACCAGTCATGGGTTTAATAGGCATGTTCCACCTCACGAGCTCACAAATACCTTGTTTCCACTTCAGAGCTTTTCTGAAAGCAGGCAGACATGAATTAGACATGAATTTGTAAATAAAATATCTGATGGAAATGGATCAGGTCACACAGGCAAGGAAAATATTGTAATAGGATATGATTAAACCCCCTCTTTATGGGACAGCCAGGAAAAGTCAAGACACACAGAGCTCCTTGATATTTTCAGTCTCAAGGAGGGATGAATGAGAACTAAACTTGGGAAGACCCTACTGTGTGTTAGCCGAAGAGAGGGTGACATGTCTCTTGGTTCCCCCAGTTACCTGGGGCAGAGGCAAGTGAGGCCGGGGGACAGGCCCTGGGTCGGCAGGTGGGAAGCCTCAGGGCTTGCTCCTCTGCGGCCGCCCGTTCACCAGGACCCAGGAAGCAGGCGCTTCTCGGGCCTTCAGCTCTCTTCTGAGCACTGCGGATCTCTGCGGCACCTGCCACGGCCACGCGGGGCCGCAGGAGCGAGCGTGACACCAAGGGAAAAAGCAGTGGTACAGAGCCTGTCTCTATTTACTTATGACGTGGTGTTCATCATGGACATTTGGCAACAATTTTGATTTTAAAAAATATCACACAGTATATATCCAAAAGAATTGAAAGTGTGGTCCTGAAGACACATTTGTACAGCTGTGTTTATAGGAGCGTTATTCACAATAGCCAAGATGGGGAAGCAACCCAAGTGTCCATAGATGGGTGGATGGGTAACCAAAATGTGGTACATACCTCCAGTGAAATATTAGTCAGCCTTAAAGAGGAAGGACATTGTGACACAGCATACAACTTGGATGAAACTTTGGGACATTATGCTAAGAGAATAAGCCAAACACAAAGGAACAAATACTCTTATGATTCCACTCATATGAGGCACCTCGAGTCGCCAAATTCATAGAGACAGAAAGTAGGATGGTATCTGCCAGGCATGGGGGACGGAGGGGTTGGGAAGTTATTTAACGGGTTCAGAGTTTCTGGGAAGGTGAAAAGAGTTACGGAGATTGGTTGCACGATAATGTGAACGTGCTTCACATTACTGAGCTTTACACTTAGAAATGGTTAAGGTGGTAAGTGTTATGCCAGGTATATTTTACCACAGGTTTTAAACATATCCCACTCTCATATTATTTATCTAGATGGCTGAGGTGCTAGTCTTGGCTCTGCTACCTTCCTTACCTCATAGAATCTGGTGAATTTTTAAAAGCTGACAAAGCGAAAGCGTTATAGAACCTCAGGGTTTGATGACTGTTGAATTCATACCCGCTCAGTGAGGAATTAGAAGCTGTGGGTTTCTGACGCTAACTACACACTTCAGGGCAAACCTCACGGCTGTTTTACTTCGCCCCCTGAGCCCCGCCCCCCGGGCCTCAGAGCGCAGCCTGGCCGACCTCTGCAGTGAGGGCCCGTGGCTGCCTGGACTCCTGAGCCAGGCCCCGCCTGAGCAAGACTGCCAAGCTGCTGCTCCAGGCAAGCGTCATCGGTTGGTGGGCTGGGGAGAAAAAGATGTTTTGTCTTACTGGTTTGGTTGATTTGCGCCTTTACTTTTTTCCAGCATCGGGCTCTATTTTGCAATGTCGTGCCTGCCTTTTTCTCCATAGCAGTGGCAGGAGCAGAGGCCCTTCAATCTTTTTGTCTGTGCAGCAGTTCTGGGCACACCATTGTCTCTCAAAAGAGTCACAACTCTATAAAGCCAAATGTATTCTGTCCAGTGGATCGCCATTCAGAAGTTTTTCGGTGCTAAAAATGCAGGCGCCTGCCCTGACCGGTGTGGCTCAGTGAGGGCACGTTGTCCTGCAAAGCAACGGGTCACTGGTTTGATTCCTGACCGGGGCACGTGCCTGGGTTGCAGGTTTGGTCTCCTGTTGGTGTGCGTATGAGAGGCAACCGATCAATGTTTCTCTCCCAGTGATGTTTCTCTCCCTCTCTCTCTCCCTCCCTTCCTCTCTCTCTAAAAATAAATAAATAAAACCTTTAAAAAATAAAAACACAGGCACCCAGGTAGAAATAGAAAATGCACACTAGTTTAATTCTGCTAAAAGTAATAATAATAAACCAATAATGCTGACCTCCAAAATGGAGCTTGTAGAATAAGGAATGAGGTCAACCATCTTCCTTCTTACACATCATGAAATGTCATTTTCTTTTGACTTTTAAAAATCATTTAAAATGGATAAAAAAAGGAAAGAAAGAAAGAAAGAAAAGGCGTCCTTAACTTCTGAGCTGTACCATAGGCGGAGGGTCAGGCTTGGCCCACAGCCCGCAGCCGGCACGCCGCCCTGGAAGAATGAGCTCCCCGCGGGACCCCTGGTGCATGTTCCAGGCACAGAACACGCGGGCCCTCACTGCCAGCGCTGTCTGACTCGCTGCATCTCAGAGCTGGGTGAGTACAGGGGGAGGGGGGGCTTTGGAAGGCAGAAGGGTGTAAATGATGGCACCCCATGTGGCCCTACTTGTCGGGCTGCTAAGCCCTGCTTCCTGATGTGCTTTGCAACAAAAATCCAGCCTCAGAAGTCAGACACTTGTGGCCCTTCTGCTTGGGTGCTGTGTTAGCACTTGGATGCCTTGCGTGCCAGCGCTCTGGAAATAACCCCTCCTATTTTTAACACCCTTGGGTAGTCAGATGGTCTCTGGTTTCTCTCAAAGAAAATCCCGGGGCCCAGTACAAGCTTGAACCTCTCGGTAAACAGGACCGCTCTCTCCCTCCGTACCCCCCCCCCCGCCGAGTCCCCAGCATTCCCAGGGACATGCTTTCCTCTCTCCTTCGGGGTCAGCGCAGCCCCGGAGCCGCAGCCAGCATCCTGGTGGTTGCTAGTGCACAGTACAAGGACAAAGCAAGTTTTCAAAGATCTTTTATTTCAAACCACAGTCAGAAAATACCCAGTTAAAAATGCTTCTCAGGCCTCCTGGAAGCCAAGGACGGGATGTTCAGCTCACGGGAAAGGGGGTGTCTTGTCTCTGAGGACAGAGGGGCTGGCTATTGACACAGGAGAACATCTGCAGCTGGCAGTACGCACAGACCGTCTCTATAAGGCTAAGAGGACAACGGCAGCCAGCTTATCAAAGACAGCTGGCACCGTGGGGACCAACTTCGAGCTGCAGCGGAAGGTCAGGCCTTTGCAAACACCTGCGCACCTGCCAGACCTGCCTCTTTCCCACCGTGGGCAGGTCTGAATCACGTCCTCTTGCTGGGTTCGTGGAGGTGCCTGTCACAGCCCAGAGAAGAGCTCAGAGAGGGGAAACAGCGGCAGCTGTCGCAGGGCAGGTGGGAACAGGGGAGATGGAAAGCTCCCGCCTCTTTCTAGAGTGTCTGGGCTGGGCTCGGATTGCTGAGGGGAAAGCCCTGAGGATCGCTGGGGCCCCAGGAGGGCTAGTGCTCGGGCTCGGCGTCCATGCAGGACTCCCATGGGTTCCGGGGCATTCGAGGCAGGGAGAAGAGGAGCAGGGCGAGGCCGCCCAGGAAGAGGAGCACGAAGGCGGCGCACGCGCAGGCGAAGGACCAGGCGTAGTAGTACTCGATCCAGACGGTGTCCGTGCTGTAGATCATGCGTTTCACCGACTGCCGCATGACCTCCACCGAGACGAAGATGCAGAGGCCTGAGGGCAGAGCGGCTCGCTCAGGGCCCCGCCCGGGCCGGCACCCCCCACCCCCGCGTCTGCTCCAGGACTCGGTGAAGACCCAGCCCCGTGAGAAACTGTCCCAAGACGCTGGGCCGAAACGGGCCCCTGCAAAAGTGACCCAGCTGCCAGCCCACCGCGCAATTCCCCCAGTCTCAGGTTAGCTGCGTTTCTCCCCATCTTTGGTTAGTTTTTTTAAAATATTAAGTTAAAAAAATTGATGGTAACTGGCATCGCTCTCAGTGGCTTGCTGATTAAGCCTTTGTGAGAATCGGACAAACTGGCAGCACCTGCCCTGCTTCTAGACCCACCAAGAGGTGATGAGACCAAGTCTGCTGCTGCGTGGAGCCTGGGAATCTCTCCAGACTCATATCCCAAGGTCAGTGTGAGGCTGGGTGGCAGCATCCCTCCCTCCGGGACATCGTCCCCCCAGCCGGGGGCACACGGGCAGGAGCCCCCATGCTACCTGCGAAGGCGTAGAACATGGATGCCGGCCTCAGCAGGTAATCCCGCTTCTTGCTGAAGGACAGGAGCACGCAGATGGTTCCTATGATGACGAAGCTGAGGCTGAAGATGGCGATGGCGGCGGCCGAGATGCTGTACTCTGCAACACACACAGGGGCCCAGAGGACGCCTCAGCAGCCTCGTCCCAGGGCCTCGGGTCAAGGCTGGTTGTGCCACCAACCAGGTGAGTGACAATACCACATGCTATAATTCCTATTGCATATCTGGGAAGACTGAGGACCCGAGAGAGGAAATCACTCAAAGTGGCACACGGGTAATGGCCTCATTCCAACTCCCAGGTTGCACTAAACTGCAAGTCCAGCCCCCTGCTCACACCCGGGACAGAGGCCTCAGACTGTGTGGGAGGCATGTGGCTGGAAGCCTTTCTAGAGCAGAAAACGTCCTCTGAGTGACAGGGCAGAAGTGGGCAGGCAGTCGGGCAGAAAGGGGCTGACAAGCGGCCTCTGGGAGTGTGGCTCGCTGCAGAGCACAGCAACTGTGATGGCGTGCGCACACACGCGTGCCACAGGGGTGAGACTCGCCCGTGTCTGTGTTAGCGCTGTCCTGGCATATAAGGATCGTCAGAGTGAGTGTGTGTGCACGCCCACGCTGTGTGCCGCCGTCCGCAGGGGTGCAGATGGGGGCCTGTACTCACTACCACGGCGGGGTGTGTGCGAGCTCCGCGGTTCCCGAAGGCCCCAGGCCTCCCAACGCCTCCTGCTCTCCTGTTCTTGGGGAGTGATTGATCGGGAGGGAGGGAATCGGACAGTTGCCCGCAGATGCAGAGCCACCAGCCCTGCAAACCGTCGCGGGGACTGTGAGTACTTGTTCTATTTTCCTGGCTCCTGTCACAACAGCTTCCCTCCGGCTCTGTTGGAAAACGCATTCCTTCTGCAACTCAGGAGCCTACCGGGAACAGGCCCTTTTGCAGCCTCTCGCCAGCCCTGATGGACGGAGGCTCTGGACGCGCGGAGATGGAGCACTTCTGTCTCCAGAGCGCAGAGGGTGACAGGGCTGTTTTCATCAAACGCGGGGGAGTCAGGGCTTTTGTGCCAAATGATTTTCTGGCTCAGCAGCGTGTGATGGCAGTCACTCCTCCCTGCCCTCCCCACTTTCCACTGTGGCCTTACCTTTCTGAGTGGTGAATTCGAAGATCTCTGAGCTCTCGCCTGGGTTAAAATGCCTGAAGTAGGAACAGTTTTTCTCTGCAAAGGAGGGAGACAGCCTATGAGTTGAGAGGAAAGGGCCTGCAGCCGAGGCAGAGGATCAGCCCCAGACAGGGTGGGTGTGATCTCGTTGGGGTGGGCGTGAAGGGACCTACCAGATGGCTGGTCGTCTTGTCCCCAGACCCTCACTCAGGGCTGAGACAAGCATCTTTCTCTGACCATTAGACCAAAATTTCACTAGGTTAAAGGGGCTGCATAAGAGGCCGGGAGAGCTTCAGGGAGCCAAGGCTGACTGAGTCAAAGATGCAGGCAGCACTGTGGGTGCTGAGCCCATTAAGCAGATGAGGTAACCGAGGCCCAGGGCTCAAGCTATTTGTCAGGGAGTACAGGATACATGGTCAACAAAGGGCTTAACAGTGGTTCTCGGCTGGGTCTGATCCTGTACCGCAGGGGTCACTGGGCAATGTCTGGAGACATTTTTGGTGTCACAAGTGGGCAGGGCTGCTATTGGCATCTAGTGGGTAAAGGCCAGGATGCTAGTAAATATCCACTATGCACAAGACAGCCCCAGAGTGTCAGCAGTGCTGAGAGAAACCCTGGATCACACCAGAATCTAGAGCTGTGTTTCTTATCAGTGGTCAGGCCGACCTGATTCACTGGGTATGACTTGGGAAGCAAGCAGTGTTTTCCAAAAGCTTTCCAAGAGATTCTGATGATTGGGAAGCCCTACTCCAGGGCCCTTAAAAATGCCCCACAAAGTGATTTTATGAGTGGGCCACCTGGATGGACGGGGCGATGGCTAGAGAATCTATCCAAGGGCCGAATGTGACCAGCACATCCTTTTATCAGGCCCTCAGCACCTGGGGCTGTGGAGGCAGCCCAGCCCGGACCTCCCCCTTGGCTCACCTGATAAGTATCAGAAAAGCCAGAGAAGATCTGTGGACAGCAGGACCCAAAATCTGGATTTGGTTGGGAGGTAGAGGAAAGTCCCAGAACAAAGAAATTCCTGCTGATTTTAAATGTAATTTCAGGCATGATTTCTCGTCTATTTTTTTTTCCTTTCATCTCTCTCATAACTAGACATACTATGAATTCAAAGTATAGTTTTATTGCATATTGAATACAGTTAAATATTCTTTACTCCTGATTTAGGAAGTAGATGAATATGTTCTATTATTTCATTTCTTTAAGAAAGCGAAATTATGTTGCTTTTCATTTGTGTGAAGCCCATGTGGATCCATGATCTTCAATAGAAAACATCCCTGTTTAGATGCCATCTGGCCTGTGCATTCATTTCTTTACCTTCAGGCTGTTTTTACGTTTCAGCCAGGCCATTGATGCCTCTTTTCTTTTGAAGAGGCACCTGAGGCCCTGCCTCCGTCTGAATGCCGGCTTCCTTCTGTCGGGCCTAAGTCACCTGATTGCCACTGAAGCCGGCCCGCCCTCTCTCCCCTCCTCCCCCAGGTCAGAGTTGCTGCCACTGCCATGGTGGAGAAAGGAAATGACCCCTGGAGACCAAGCCTGGCTTAACAGCAGTAAATGTTCCAGAGGTAAACCACCTTCTCTTTGAGCTTCTATATTTAAATCACTTTCTTTTTGAACCAAGTTACCTGGGGTGTCTGACTACCAGTGGTGATGTCAGAACGAAGCTGCTCTTTTCCTCTCACAGCTTCCAGTGCTATTTTAAAGCATAACCCTCTTATATTTGTTAGATTATTAACTATAGATTCTCTTGAATCACTGCTTCAAAATGGCTTGTGCTATGTTGTACGTCACCACATACCTCCCTCTGGACAAAGGACCATTTCTGTTTCATTCTTTAAGGGCCAATTTTGGTTGTTATTGAAAACCCTCTGAAAAGAACGGACTGAGTTCAAGTGTATTTCACGGTCAGCCGCCTCTCTGACTACTCGCGGTCCTCAAGTCGGAGGCCTCCGGAGCAGAGGGCCTGAGGTGACGGCCCATCGAGAGCCTGGCCCAGGCCCAACTGCGTGGCGGTTCTGGGTTTCTGAGGCTACGCTCACACAGGTCGCGTTTGTGTTGTCAACCTCACCAGATAAATGCCAGGCTCTGTTCTGGACAAGCCGCTGCCGCCGCTGGGTGTTGGCACAAAAACATAGCTGGGATCACCGGGGGAAGCTGCATGTCTGGGAAGCAAGCTTGTGCATTCTGGTGTGTGGCAGGATTTTCCCCTCAGTGACCCAAGGACAGTGCTCCTGGCCTTCCCATCCACTGTTCAAAGTTCTTACACATGGGGGTGCAGGGTGGGGGCACCCAGTGGGCACCCAGCGGGCAGGGTTCCCACCGAGGACATGTGGAAGTCTCTACTTCCCTCTCATGTGGCTGAATTTATGGTCTGAGGACAGACAGGCCAACCTTTTCCCCTCTCTTGGACTTAGCACATGCGAAAGGCCAGTGTTTTTTGCCCTGAACCTGGGAGGGACACCCACTCAGGGCCCCATGGTTGCCCACTGGAGACTGCAGGCTCCTTCGTGGTCCCTGATGGACCCAGCAGGCGTCGGGGCATGTCAGACCCAGAGCTCAGCCTGGACACTCCCAGCACCAACATGACGCTCATTTAGGGCTAGTCAAGCCAGGCATCTGCCACTGTCACTCAAGAATTGCCCAGGGTCCTCTTGAGATGGGCAGACCTGTCCCTGACCCTTTGGGTGCCATGCGGGTAAAGCAAACATCGAGGGCACTTGAAAAGGAAGGACATTTGAGATGAGCCTTGCGTCGGCCATGTGGTCATAGGTAGGGGATTTGGAGGAGAGGGCCAGTGACGGTCCCATGTGGACCCTGTGCAGATCCTGAGCCTCCTTGCCTCTGCCACTCTGCTGTCCTCCGCAGCCCCCACCGGGCATCTGTGACACTTCCACAGAGCTCAGGGCATCCCACTTTGCCGCCACGGGCTCCTGGCCTTCACGGGCAGAAGCAAGGGCTTGGACTAAGTTGGCAGAGGAACCAACGTGAGGGGGATGACCTGGGATCTCGGCTAGGAACCCCGAGCTCCTCCAACCCCCTTTGTCTCTGCAAAGGGCTCGTGGTGATTTTTAGTATTTGTATTTCTATTTTTCTGTATTTCAGAAGTATCTGCCACAGACAATCAGAAGACTCAGTGTTCTAAAACTTTTGGTGGGTTATTTCTTTAAAAATATGGTGAACGCAGCTATTGGGCTTGACTGGGGCTGGAGTGTTCTGGCCAACCAAATACTGTGGTTAAGGGAGTGACTGTCTATACAGAACCACATCTAACTGTGCCAGTTTCAAAGAACTAGAACAGAAGGTACATTTAACTCCAAGCCAACCTTGAGTGAATACAGATCCGTCTTTGATAGTTGGAACGACTTGTACAATTAGGGGATGTTTCTGGGTTATCACTGTTAGTGTATCCGATGCTGGTTGCTACAGACTTAAATATGTAAAAAAATACTTCGTTGATTTGCACAAAACCGAGAGAACTAGTACTTTAGGGGTTGGAAGAAATATTTCACCCACTTCTTACTTGCATCAATGCCAGGGTTGTCTTCCCTCTTTTTGTAAAAGTGCTTCCTGCTTCCAACAATGTCTCTGTCCTCCATCTCCCTCTACTCCCTGGTTGAAGGCTTTTATAACATGGGTTGGAGAAAACCCCAAGAGCCTACCCCAGAGCTTCAGAGCACTGCTGTCCTATGAGAAAGAAGTCTAGTCGTGGCCTGGGTCTCCAGCATGGACTTACGTGGATGGTGTTTATGTTCTTGGGGGCAGTAGCATCATGTGTTGTCACATAGCCCCAGTCCCCGCACCAAGTACTGGAAGATAACATGGGCGACTAGGGAAGTGGGGGCCTGGGGCAGGCAGCTGCTGTGCCCTAAAGAGGCAGAGCCTGGAAGAGACAGCGTCCCGCCCGGACCAAGGGCTTGCGGGCAGCCAGCTTCTCTTTTCAACTGTGGGAGTCCTGCTCGCTTTCCGGAGGCGCTAGTCTTGACCTCAGATGTTGGTCTTGTGCATGACAGTCCTTTTAAAATTCTTCAGGTCAGTGGAAAATCAAATTAGATGATTTGTGTCCTCAGAGCCTCCAGCATTCTATGGCTTAATGGGACACAGGAAAGTCTCCTCTGTGGCACCAGCTCCTGGTCCATGTCATGTCAGAGGCTGGCCCTCTTATGTGTTTTCTTGGGTCAGCAGCTTTCGGGAGTTGTATTTGTACATATAGTGAGGGGTAAGGGAGGGGGCCCGAGAGCAAAGAGGCTCTGTATTTAAGACTTGGGTGTTGAGCCTTTACTTGTTAATAGGTTAGCCTTGGGACAGCCACTCTGAGCCTCAGTTTCCCCACATGTAGAATGACAATCACCTGTGGAACAAAAGCTTCCTCACTGGGTGGTTGTAATGTAGTATAATGTGGCCACTAAAAAGGTGAATTTTGAGAGTATGAAGCCTGGATACTCTGTCATGGTAATTGTGTGAATTCAGTCAAATTACTCAACTTCTCTATGCCTCATTTTCTTTATCTGTAAGATGGGATAATGACAATATAGACCTCATAGAAAATTTAGTGAGGATTATATGAGTTTATATATATATTTTCCCACTTCCTCCTGGCCTCCATTTTTGCGAAAAATTAGCTCTTTTTCTTACTAAGAATTTCTTGTGTGTTCTCCCAAGAGTCTGTCTTTCTCTTTCCACTTATCTATCTTTTGATTGCAATGTATCTAGATCTTGATTTATCCTACTTGGAGTTCATTAAGCTTCATGGGTTTCTAGATTAATGTTTTCCTTCAAATTTGGAAAAATTTTGGTCATTATTTTTCATATATGCTTTCTGCTCTCCTCTCTCTCTCCCCCCCCTCATCCTTCTCCCCTCTTCTCCTCCTCCTTCTGGGAGTACCATTATGCATATATTAGTCAGGCTTTGTTCATTTTTATTTATTTTTTCTGTTTCTCAGTCTAGTGAAACTCAATTGACTTATCTTTAAGTTCATGGATTTGTCCTTCTGCTTGCTCAGGTTTGCTATTGCACCCCTCTGGGGATTTTCTTTCTTTCTTTCTTTTTTCCATTTCAGTTATTGCATTTCTCAACTCCAGAATTTCTATTAGGTCCTTTTAAAATAACTTCTATCTCATTATTGATATTCTCTATTTCATGAGACATCATTCTTTAGTTCTTTAGACATGGTTTCTTTTAGTTCTTTGAACATATTTAAAATAGATGATTTAAAGTCTTGGTCTAGTAAGTCCAATATTTGGCCTTCCTTAAGGCTATATTATTGACTTCTTTCCTTCATCTTTTGTATGGGCCATGTATTTTTAATTCTTTGCAGGTTTTATAATTTTTAAAATTTAAATTAAAAACTGGGACATTTAAACAATATAATGTAGCAACTCCAGAAATTAGTTCCCACTCTTACCCAGGGTTTGTTCCTGTTGCTCTTTGTTACTATTGTTTATTTAGTGACTTTCTGAATTAATTTTGTAATGTCTATATTCTTTGTCACGTGGCCACTGAAATCTCTGCTCAGTTAATTTGGCGGTCAGCTCACAAATTTCCTAAAATTCTTGGAACGAATGCACCTGCCAGTCTTTACTGAGGGGCTCGGTGTTAAGCAGAGAGGAAAGCGCTCAGCTAAGCAGTATACATTTCTGCCTTAGCCTTCACTTTGTGCTTGCGCGCAGCCTCAAGATAAGCCAGAGGACAGAGCTCAGGGCTTCCTCAGGCCTCTCTGGTGCATGCATATCGCACTGGGCTCGCACGTGGTTTCCTAAGTCCCCAGGAGTGTGTTGGGACTTTTTCAGAGCCACCCGTGGACATCTCATTCTCCAGCTTTTTGGTTGGCCTATTGTTTGCCCTATTGTTTGCCCTATTATCTACTGCTTTGGGCAGTGATTGTATTAAACAATTGTTTCTAATTGTTTTTGACAAACGCCTCCTGGGAAAACTACAGTTTCCACTGGATATGCTCAGAGTCAGATCAAATAAAGACAGCCTTGCAAGTGGGGACATCCATGGAACCACTGGCAGGTCAAATAGTGACAGTTCTCTGGGAATGAGACTCTGAGAGAGATCCAGCCCATTCTGTCTCCTCGGGGGGCTGCCCGGCTGCTGGGGTTCACTGTGAGTGCCAGGTGTGGATGTTCGAGGCTGTGACAGAGTTGGGGAGAAATGACAATAGAGCAAGTCAAAGCACCACAAACCTCACTTTTCTTACTGAGATTCACCCATTTTTCTTGAATAAGCACTTGCTGGGTTGCTGTGAGACTGGTTAATTTCCAGAGTTCTGAAAAAGTTTATTCTGATCATTTTTGCCAATGTTTACATTGTTTTTATGAAGAAGAGGAATTTTGGAGGTTTGTACACGGTCATTTTTTTTTTCTGACATCATCCAAAGGTAATATATGTTAAGCACTTAAAACAATGTTTGGCAACCCTGACCTAGGAGGCTCAGTTGGTGGGCCTTGTCCTGTAAAGTGAAAGTTCATGGGTTTGATTCCTGGTCAGGGTACATGCCTGGGTTGCAGGTTCGGTCCCCTGTTGGGGTGCACATGAGAGGCAACCGAACGATGTTTCTCTCACAACGATGTTTCTCTCCCTCTCTTTCTCCCTCCCTTCTCCTCTCTCTAAAAAAAAAAAAATTCTTTTAAAAAAAAGTTTGGAAGATAGTGCTCTATTTGTGTTTGTAGTTCTTATTATTCTTGTTATTAATAATTAATAAGAGAACATGTATGAATTCTGTTCATCCCTCCAGAAAAAAGTGATCCTTTAAAGTACAGGTAGGAAAGCAAAAGGTGTTCACATGCAGAGAAAGGAGAGGAAAGAAGGCAGGAACACATGTCAGAAGCTTGTTTAGGGTAAGGCAGAGCTCACAACTTTGATTCACTCTCAGGTAGACTCTGGTCAAGTTCAAGGCCAGGCCATGCCTGCAGGCACCCAGAGGCTGGTTCAGTAACCTGCCGCCAGTATGTCTCTTCCTTCTATAGACTCAGCTCACCTCCCTGCTCATCTGTTCTGTGAACTCACCAAACTTTAAAAGGCAGATGCCTCCAAGGACAGGTGGACAGGACCGTAACAGGGCGTTCCTGGAGAATCTGCCTCGTCTTGCCCTGCCCTGCCCTGCGCTGCCCTGCCCAGGGGAGTTGGCTGGATGGTGAATCTGTTTACGGGTGTGCCTGGTAGTGGCTGAGGGGCATGGGCATCAGGCTATGCGATACCCTTCAAGCACATGTTCATGTCATTTAAAGCCCTCAGGCCCGAGACTCAGTGTTTCCAAGACAGCTGGGTATGTACAAGTCTCCAGCATATCCAGTGGGAATGAGCAAGGCAAGAGCCAGCAGGAGGGGAAGGAAGAGGAAGGAGGGAAGTGGGAGGAACAGGATCTGGGCTCCTTTGTCCCAACACACATGCTGCAGGATTTCGGAGGACTTGGCATTGACTTCCTTGAAGGGGAGGTTTCAGTGAACACCCAGCCAGAAAACGGAATAATTCTGAAAACCAGGTGGGTGCCACACTCACCCTAGTCCCCCGCTACCTTGGAGTGGCATTTGTGAGCACTGGAAGGGGCCCAGGCACGATAGGAGGAAGCATAGTCATTTAGGGCAGTGGTGGGCAATACATGGTTAGGGCCTCTGATTCTCCAAGCGGGACTCTCTCCTGAGCATGTGCTCTGTTTGCTGTAAGTGGAGAAGGCTGTGCATTTACAGAGGAGAGTAGTCACCCTACATAATACCAGGTATTCTTTACAAGGAGCTCGCCTTCAATGTGTGGTCGGGTCACATGGCAGGACATTAGGGGATGCGCTTAAATTACGGAAGGAAATGCTTCTCATCTCTGAAGGGGTCTGAGCTAAGGGGCACCGAGGACTGGTGATTCTCACATGGGGCAGGCGGCCCCTCGACAACCAGGTCCTGCTTCACAAACAGGCGCTCGGCCCTGGCCCCCTCAAGGCTCCGCACCCAGGAGGGAGCCACGCTTGCTTTTCTACTCTGCTGTTACCATCTTGAAGTTCTGAAACAATGGCAAGGAGCCCTGCGTTTTCATTTTGCACTTGGGCTTTTTAAGTTCTGTAGCTGATCCTGTCTATACCCTGGAGGCTGGGGAAGGAATCTGCCAGCTCCACGCATCCCTTCAGCCTGTGTCCTTGTAGGGAGAGATTACAGCTAGGCACACTCAGAAGAGTGGCCGGGGCCGGGGCCGGGGCCAGAAACCCCTGGTCTTGCAGGTCCACAGTGTCTTTCCTGAGCCTCTTGTCCCGCATGTCCAGCCCTCTGCTCTGGGTGAAAAGCCCCGAGCCTTCGAAGAGAGAAATAGAGATAAATGCCCTCGTTTTACAACCGGCCGTGGCCCCCAGCACTACCTCCTGCTATTCAGACCCTCTCCCCTGGGCCGAGAGGGCTGTTGTAAGCCACTTTTCCAGGGGGGTGAGGAAGGGCAGGAAGCAGGGACAGGGCAGAGGGTGGGTACATTACCCCCAGGCAGGGTGATGGATCCACAGCTCTTGTCCTCGCTGTTGCTCATGATGATACTCTTGGTGCAAATCCGCCAGAGACCAAAGTGGGCCGCCTTGCAGGTGGCACTGTGGTGCTCCATGTGGGGGCTCAGCACAGCCCAGTGGTCGGTCACCACGGCCACCGTGGCCAGCACGATGCCCACCAGGATGCAGAAGAGGGTCATGAGGACCTTCAGCGTTTTGGCCTGGGACATGGTCGTCGTGGAGGAGTAGGTGGTCTGGGAAGGGTCTGGTGGCAGTGGCTCCACAGGCAGGTGGCAGCCGGGCTGGGGTGGTGGCAGTGACTCTGGTGCGGGGGGTAGAAGCTAAGTTTAGTGTGTTTGGCCAAGCCAGAGTGGGCTGGCCTCAGGGCTGAGGGACACTGGATGGGGCTGAGCAGCTGCCCACACGTGACAGGGCCTGAGGGAGGCTTCTATTAATGCACATGTACAAGCACGTCGCCGTCACCGAGGATGACTTCTTCTCAGGTTTCAGGGCTGTCTTCCCCTCCTGGAGCCAGAAATACCCCAGGGTGGGGCAAGAGAGAAGGCTGAAAGATGGCGGCTGAAACCTGGACTGAGCAGCTGCTCAGGATACCTGGGTGGGGAGTGGATGGAGGACACTCTGTGTGTGGGCGGCAAGTCACCGCTGGTCCAGGGCAGGGGACCCTGGGGGACCCAGGTGGCTCAGCATTCTGTTCTCATGCTGGGCAGGTCAGTCACCAGAGTGGGGTGAGTGGGTCCTTGTCCTAGAAGTCTGGGGAGCCCAGGATCATGGGCCTGGGGACATCTTGGGGATTCCCTGCCCAGGGCCCCTGGAGCCCACTGCCCAGCTTTTGCCCCAAGCCTCACGACACCCCTAAACCACAAGGACGTTTCCAATGGTTCCTAGCTAGACCTGCCGTGACCTGACACTGCCCAGCATGAAAACGTTATTTTCTTTCTCTCGCTCTTTTTTAAAGATTTTATTTATTTATTTATAGAGAGGGGGAAGGAGGGAGAAAGAGAGGGAAACACTGATATGGGAGAGATATATTGATCTGTTGTCTCTCGCACTCCCCCAGCTGGGGACCTGGCCTGCATCCCAGGCATGTGCTCTGACAGGGAATCGAACCAGTGGCCTCTTGCTTGGCAGGCTGGCACTCAATCCACAGAGCCACGCCAGCCAGGGCGAAGCTATTTTAACTTTAGCACTGCAAGTAGATATGGTGCCATTTGGAGAAATAAAAAGTGTGTTGGATTTCCTGGGGTGGCGGCAGTGGGCATCCAAAGCTCTCCAGCAAGGGGCCTCCGCAGGTCTTGGAAAGCGCCGTGAGTCGGCCCCCTTAGCATCAGCTGCAACCACGCTGCCGGCCCATGGAGAGTCAGACCACGCCTTCCCTCAGTGCAGGGCAGGTTTGTGCCGTGTGCACGGGTCCTCAGTCCTCCAGCCCAGCCAGCAGAAGCATTAAAGATTGATGGCCTCTTCCTTTTGAAGTGGTCCATGTGTAAGCCTACCACGAGGCTGGCAGCACCGGGACTGCAGGCGAGTCTCCTGTCTCTTCCCTGTTTACTAAAAGGTCCTTCAAACACAATGTTTCTGCCCATGGAGGCCACTGCCAGGCTGCCTGCTCAGCGGCATGTCCTGGGAGCTGCGCAGCCCCCATCCCCCATCAGCATCCTCCACAAGGGTCCTGTGCTTCCCAGGAAGGACGGCCTCTTAGGGAGTGGGAACCAGCCCACCAGTGAGGGAGCCGGCAGGCCCAGGGTTGGATCCCTGCTTCGCTGAGGATCAAGTCATTAGCCTTTCTAAGCTGCCTTTCTCTCATCTATAAAGTGAGGGCAATGTGCTGACCCGGAGCTGCTGTAGAATTAGAGATAATGCATTTATCAGCGAAGCCTGCGGTAGCTGCCACCGACTGGATGGTGTGCCCCGCCCCTGCCCCCACCAGATTCACCTGTTGAAGCTCAAACCCCATTGTAATGGTATTTGGAGATGGGGCCTTGGGTGGGTAATTAGGGTTTGGGGTATTTTTTACACTTTTCCAACAAGTACTTATTATTAGTTAAGCCACTGTTCAGTATCCTCAGGTGAGATGTACCCAGGTCCTCCTTCACCTCCCTGGGAGAAGGATGGAAGACAGGGGACAGGTGGGGTGCAGCCAGTTCAGATCTTCCCGGGAAGTGTGCCTTCTGCCCCGCGGTCATCCCAGGCCACTTCCCAGGACATGGGGCAAAGGGACTTGTACACGTGTTGGTACCATTCACACACAGAGACGTCCCGGCCCTTAGCAGTCATTGCCTCCTCACAGTGGCGGAAGTCCAAGTCCTTCCGCCAGCAGTTCCTGGTCTGGTTCTGGTTGGGGAGGCGGCAGTCAAAAGGGATGGTCTTGAAGTTCTTGATTTTGGTCTTGATGTCCTCTGCCAAGTTGCTGACTCCTGAAGACGCCCCTGAAGCCTCACATAGCTCCATGTGACCCTGAGCAAAGATGCCTCTGGGTACTGAGGTTTAGATGAGGTCATGAGGATGGGGCCTCATGATAGGATTAGTGTCCTTCTCAGAAGAGGCCAGAGAGCTTGCTGTCTCTCTTTCTCTGCCATGTGAGGACTCAGTGAGAAGGCCAAAGCCAGGAAGAAGGCTGTCACCGCAACCTAGTCCTCCCGGTTCCCTGATCTAGGACTTCCAGGCTCCGGAGCTGTGCAAATATAAATTTCTGTTGTTAAGGTTGCCCAGGTTATGGTATTTTGTTATGGTAGCCTGACCTGACTCATACAGTAGGCAACAGATCTGGGATGGCTGCTGCTGCTGCTGCTGCTGTTATTATTATTGTTATTATTTATAGACTACAGATGGATCAGCTTTCTCTAATGGGCTATAGGCTTCTGGAGGGTAGGCACAGTGAGACTGTACTACCATATTCTTCCATGTATAATATGCACTTTCTTGCCCAAATTTTTGAGGGAAAAATAAGGATGAATATTATTCATGGGTCGTGCTAATTCCGTATCTATAGAAGTGTTTTTAATTCTTTTATTTCTGCTTATACATTAAAAATGTAACTCTAGAAAGCAGTAACAATATCTGAATGCAAAATAATACCTTAGAATATGACAATCGGTTTTGTTTCTAAATATAAATAAATAGAATTAAAAAATTAAAATGAAAGATTTTTTTTTGTAACTTTTGGCATTATACATGGCAAAATATGGTATGTACTCTTTCTGGGTCCCCTCATAGACCGCCCTGGATCTGGGCCCATTAATGACTGATGGATGGATGGATGGATGGACAGATTGACTGAAAGAAGAAGGAGACAGAAGCTCAAATAATTCACTCCACCAGATGATCCAAAGGACATTTCTATGTGGCTCAAAGCCACTGGGACATAAGACATGGCAGCTAGGGCAGCCCTGGGGCAGCTTGGACCAATGGCTAATTGGATTAACTTGCCTCCAGTCACTGAGCGACACCCCACGAGGGCACCACTGTCACCTCTGTGGTTGAGTTCAAAAGGAAGCAGCCTCTTGAGACAGGACATTTTCTACGGTCTTCAAAGTAGATATGCCATACTAAGCTGATCAGGAGATGTCTGTGTTTTTCTCATCCAGACGAACCAGTTTTCATTTGTCCCAAATGACTTCTCTTTTCCCAAGAAGGCCCAGGCATAACCAGGGGAGGGAAAACATCCCCTGGAGGTGGGCCTCATTCAGAGCTGGGACCAGGGCGCCCCTGGGTGAGGGCTCCCTTTGGCAACGTGCTCCTCTAGTTTTGAGCTCAGGCTTAATTAGCCTAAGAAATGGCCGTGGGTGTTCAATCTTAAGATACTGTAAAAAACCAAGGTGTCACCCAATTAGTCCCAACCTCTTTGTACCTCTTTGTCTGCCTCCTTGCACCGTTCAACTGGGACCCTCTGTTGCATTAGTCTCGCTGCCCCCAGTTCCACCCCAAGCTTCTGCCCAGGGGACTCAGAGCTCTTCCATCTTTAAAGCCAATGATCACATGACGCTGACCTCTGCTTCCATCATCACATCTTTGTCTCCAACTCTCCTGCCTTCCTCTTCCTGTTATACAAACACTTGTGGTTCCATTGATAATCCAGGAAAATCTCCCCATCTCAACATTCTTCATTGAATCACATCTGCAAGGTCCCTGTTGCCATGTAAGGCGACATAGGGACAGGCTCCAAGGATCGGGACTTGGACATTTATGGGGACATTATTCTGCCTATGACAGGCATCGATTTACCACTTGCTTGATCTTCTCTGGCCTCACCTGCGGCGCAGGGGCAGGCCTGGTGGAGACGGCAGGCGAGGTTGGAAGAGGACTGGGCGCTCCCGGGAGGGAAAAGCTAGAAGGAGAAGGGGCTGAGCGAACGGAGGGCGTCGGCGAGGGTGAGTTTAAGTGGTGACTGGCCGTGCTTGGGCTCTTTGGGATGCCCTGCAACCAGGAGGGGTCAGTATAGTGGGAGAAGACGGAGAGGGCGAGGCCGGAAGGGCTTTGTGGTGCAGAGAACAGAGGTGGTGCTGGTGAGGGGGTGAGGGGACTGGGAAGACTGGGAGCTGTGGTCAGAGAGGAGGACAATGGCTCTGAAGATCACAGCGGGGTACAGTCGGGGTGATGGCGAGATCCAGGTAGGAAAGGAAGGTCAGCGAAGGCGAGGAGGCCAGATGGCCAGTGGCAGTGAGCTCAGGTAGTCAATGGCGGTAAGAAGGTCGGATGGCCAACAGAGCCTAGAAGGCAGGAGAGCTGCGAGGCCAGGGAGCTGGAGTGGTTGGCCCCACAGACGTTGGTGTGGCTCAGCGTGATGGTGGCAGAACTTGGGATACAGAGGAAGGCTTTGAGCCAGCAGTGAAGTCTTTAGTGAATATGGAAGAGCGGCCAAGAAGGAGTTGGGGCGATGACAGTGGCTGAGAAAGGGTTCAGGATGGTCTCCCTAGGCCCTCATCGAAGGCTTTGCTGCAGGAGGGTGGAGGGGTAATGGTTTGGCAGTATCAGCGTTCCCTCCACTCCCCTGTCCTACAATTACAAGTCCAAGGACTTGAGTTCATAACCTCTTCTGATCACAGACTTCTGTTCCTGAGTTGCACCAGCAGTTTTGTTGGAAGCTGCAAGTTTAAAAATATCTATGTCAGGTGTACCTGCCCCCGTCTCCCTCTGGGTCCTAAGGTCCCTCAGGTCCTCGTTCTCCCTTTCCAGCTCCACACCTCCTAGGATCGAGTACGGGACTGGGCAGCCAGGAGTGTTATATCGGGGACCTGGGCAGGGAACTCCCACAGCAGAGTGGGTAGCTCTCACCAGGAGGACTGGGCAAAGGAGTGTCCCTGGGAGAGAGGATGGGCCGATCTATCTCGGCAGGCGGAAGGAGACCTCCAAAAGGAGGTGTCTGGATGCGGGGAGTTGCAGAGGACCCAGTGGAGGTGGTGGGTGGAGAAGAAGCCTAGAGCCAGGTGAGGGTCCTAGAGAGACTAGGAAGGCAGACTGCATCTTCCAAAAATAGCCACAGCAATATTTCTGCTCCTACATGTCCTTCTAGAACCTTGTCATGCCTCATCAACAGGTGGAGCCTATTTCTTCTCACCTTGAACTCAAGTAGGCTTTGAGAGTTCTAGCCCTTGAAGGATAGCAAGGGTGACTCCATGTGACTTCTGAGACTTCCACCTCTCTCTTGCTCTGGGACACTCGCCCTTGAACCCAGCCACCATGCCATGAGGAACCTCAGGCCACCCAGAGAGGCCACGTGTAGACATTCAGGCCAAGAGCTGCAGCGGAGGCCTTTGCCCAGAGCCAGCATCAGCCGCCAGAGCATGTGAGAGCTCAGGAGACTCCAGTCTGCAGCCATTGAGATTTCCAGCCGAGGCCCCAGACACTGTGGAGCACAGATAAGCCATCCTGACCCAGTCAAGTAGAGATAAGAATCCTGACCAAATTTAGTGACTGTTTCCTGCCACTGAGTTCTGGTGTATTTGTTACACAGCCCTACTAATGGATACAGTCAGTCATGAAAAGGAATTACATTTTGTGAGGCTGAGGAATGGCTAAATGGAAGGCCTGGTGCAATGAAGCAGCCCCAGTCTTCCAAGAGGAACTGGGCCGGGAGAGGGGGGAGGGGAGGCTGTTATCCCAGGGCCCAGACACCCAGGCATGTATAGAGACGAGGTCGTGACTGTGTTTGGAGGTTGACAAGGAGTCTGATCTCTGCATCAGTCTCTCGGGTAGCTGGCCAAGAGTTCGTAGTGAGATGTCAGATCGTAACTAAATGCATCCTGAGTATCTTTGTCCCAATTCAGGTGCCATTTACCGTCTAGGGAGCAGATAAGGCGCACCCAGCAACAGGACACCAGTTAGATAAGTGGTGATATCTCTGCAGCCTTTGAATATTATGTTTTTGAGGAATATTTAAGGATGTAGGGAGATTCTCATGAGGCAAAACTGAACCAATGCAGGGGATTAAGCCACACCGTGCACTGCAATGTGAGTGCACTGCAATGTGAGCCGTGTTTACGTCTTGGGTGGTAGGATTTCATGATACTGTTTTTTTCTTTCACTTTTATGTATTTTTCAGATATTTTTAAGGTAAAATGTAATACTTTTTTGGAATTAGAAAAACGTAAGTACTATTTGTTTTAAAAAGAACCTGGCTATTTACAATTTAATTTGTGGATCCTGGCAAATCCACAAAGGTTACTGCATCTCTGAGAACACTTATCAGGGGACAAAGGTCTGGGTGAAGGTCCCTCCAAGCTTCTTCTCCTGCAATTCTAAGCACAGAGATGCGGGTTCCTAACCCTTTGCAATCACAGATTTCTGTGCCTGAGGTTGCGCAGGCAGTTTTGTTGGAAGCTGCAAGTTTTAAAATATCTGTCTCAGGTGTGTCTGTCTCATCTCCCTCTCTGGGTTCTAGAGTCCCTGAGCACCTCTTTCTCCCCTCTGTCCCGCCCCTGCCCCTCATCTCTAGGGCTGGGCAGCCAGGGGTGCTATATTAGGAACCGATGCAGGAGCTGCAGTGCTGTGGCTGGTTCTGAGCGCTCTGCGGGAGGCCGCCCCTCCCCCCACCTTTATTCCTTCCCCTCAGGTCTCTTCTCTTTGCCAGCCCCACACTAGGGACCCATGAGGAGACAACTGCCCTGCGGCCCTGCTCCCAGGGCACCTGACAGGGGTCGGGACTAGGCCTTTGCAGCCTGCATTGCTGGTGTGGGACCAGGAACGCCCCCGTGGGGCTTGGGGGTCGCAGGGCCTGCAAAGAAGCCACGGCCACATGGCTGCCTTGACCCCTGAGCGCAGAAATGAAAGGGCATCAGCCAGGGAAGCAGCCAGAGGAGGACCCCTCTCCAGGGAGCGGGAGCACCATGCAGCACCTGGACCAGCTGGATGACAGGCTTTCCCCAGGCCAAAGTGCTGTGGGCACGACACCCCAGGGGGTTGTTCTAGAACAATCCATTTTAGCAAACTTCTTGGGTGTTATTAGTCAACAAACACTCCTGAAAGCTCACTCTAAAGCCAGTCTCCTGGCTGGGGTATTTCTGAATGTTTCTTTCCTGAAGTTGAAGTTGAATTCATCGCCCACCAACCCTGGGAGGGAAGTGTTACCTTCCTCATTGGACCAAAGGATCTGAGAGAGGTTGAGCGACTTGCCCTGTGCCTCCTACAGGTGACCGGAGGGTGTGATCCCATCTTTCTGGCTCGCGGCAACTTCGCTGCCCACTCATGGCAGCTGCCTAGGTGTGAGCGGTGGGGAGAAGGCCCCAGAGCAGGGAGGCCCTGTGTTAAGCTGGGCCAGGTTTCTGGACTTATTCTCCTGCCTCTACCCCACCCTGGGACAGGAGCCCGGTTTCCCATTTCCTTCTTCAACTCCCAGCTTCTGTTTCCAAAACTGTAGACTCAAGAGAGGCAGAAAGTAAAATGTATTGCAGGGAAAGGAAATACTGGGAATAAATAAATGAGGTTTCTTACCATGTCCACAGTTGAGAGGCAAATACCAAAAAGCCTCACTGCGGCCTTGCACAAGTGACCTCATCCTTTTGTGCCTCAGTTTCCCCCACTGTAAAATCAGGCTAGTGAGTGATCCGACATTTTTGACCAGATCATCCTTGGTGGGTGGGCGTAGGGGCTGTTCTGTGCACTGTAGGATCTTTAGCAGCACCCTTATCTTCCACTCTGTAGATGCCAGTAGCACCCACCTTCCAGGTTGTGACAACCAAAAATGTCTCCAGACATTGGCACCTATCCCCTGGGGAGCAAAATTGCTTCCACTTGAAAACCACTGGATCCGTGGTTCTGAGGCCTGGCTTGTTCAGCTGCCCAAACTTCGTCTGTCCATCCTCTGGCCCGTCTGTGAAAAGGCGCCTCGATGGCACCACCCAGAAGTCTGAACCCAGCAGGCAGCGCCGGGCAGGGGACCAGTGGCCCAGATGAAAGCCAGAGAAACTGGCCTCGATCAGCAGGGAGTCCACCCCTCCCTCTTCTCCAGGGGGGTCCACAGCATCCCCCAGACTCAGGGACACAGTTGACCCTAAGTACCCTCAAAGGCTTGAGGGGAGCTCTCCCCCTCCCCCCACATCAGGAAGAGAACATTTTAAAAATCTTTTTATTTAATTAAAAAAAAGACAGAACAACCCAAAACCAGTAGTAGGTACAGGATTCACAGGTGCTTAATTGGTGAAACACACAGGGGTGGTTGGAGAGGGTGGTGCGGAGATGGCACAGCCACCACGTCGCCCCTCGGTCGCAAGGTCTCGGCCTGACGGGGGCAGGGGCTGCCGCGTTCGCTCCTCCCCCGGCCAGCCCCGCTGAGACGCCGCGAGAAGTGAACGGGAACCAGAGCTGAGGGTCCCTCCCGGAGCCTGGGGTAGGGTGTGTGGAGAAAGGCTGTGAAGACCAGGGGTCCAAGGCTGTTCTGCTCCCTGCTCTTTGTCGCTTCTTTCTACTCTCTCGGTCTCTAGAGTGGGCTCCGTCTTCCCTGCCTGGGACTGGGCCAGAGGTAGGATTCGTTGGAACACAGCTTTCTCCATGAAATGACAGAAACTTCCGGGGGAGCAGGGATGGGAGGTGGAGCAGTGACTTATGTGGAGGAAACAGCAAAGCTGCCTTGCTTTTGGAAGTGACAGGAGAACCTTGGGGCCTTGCTGGGTGATGGGTCCCCAGATTTTGCCCCCTTCCTTCTAGCCAGAAGGATGGTGTCATGGGGTAGCAGGGTAAGGGTGGCCAGGGGTTGGGGCAGGGCAGCTGGGGTTGGCCCACAGCAGCAGTGGCGCCTCCAGTGTTCACTGCGGCACATGCGTGGACAGACCACCTCCCAGAGCCAACCTCAGAGGGACCGAGGGTTCCAAGCAAGCACGCAGGGGCCTGGCACGCGGCGCCTCGGCGCACCAGCACGCAGGGCTGGCCGGCGGGGGCCGGAGCTGGGACAGGTGGAGATTTCCTTTCTGGGGGCCAAAGGAGGATGGCAATGACCTTGACCTAGATCTGAACTCCCAGGGGCCCAGTTCACCCAGGGGGTCTGTGAGCAAGTGGCTGAGGTAAGAATTTGCTTGTCACTTCTAAGTATGACAGCTACTGGGGTCACAGATGACTGCTCCAGATCAGATTCCCAAGTCTCCAAAAGTAAGAAAGGATATGTTGTTAGAAAGCACATGTAGTTTTCATATAAAAGAGGGTAAGCTCCATGTTCCAGAAAGTGTTTCTTCTGAACCCGAACATGCTTCCATGTTCTCTGCTGACTTGGGGGTGGCTATTGGGGAGGGTGGGAAAATGGTTGGAAAAAACGTCAAACAGGGAACCGGTCTCCTCGGTTCCAGGCGCTGAGCTGTCCCTCGTGAGGAGGAAGAAAATCACAGCGTGGCCCTTCACCCACTTCTCGCTGAGCCCTTTCAGGGGTGGCAGAATAAATTACAACGAGTGGAGCCGGGGGAGGTGTTCTGCTACTTTTTAAGATGAGGAAATGAATGTAACTCGCTCTCCTGGTGTTTATTTGCAATAAATCATGACAACAACCACCTAGGAAATGGACGTTTGTTCTCTGATTTTTTGGTTACTGTTTGTCCTTGGGTCTGTCCAGAAGTTCAGGCTCCTGTCGCCAAACATCAGTGTGTGTGGCACATCTGTCCCACCCTCTCTCCCAGGAGGGACAAGCGAGCAGCTCCTCAGGCCAGAGGGGCAGGATGCAGCGAGAGACCACAGGGCTGCCTTCCTCTGACCCATGGAACCTTCGGACTCTCAAGCACAGTCAGTATGTTCTGCCCTTTCTGTGTGAGGCAGTAACTTCCAGGAGCAGATGGGAAAGCCAGCAGCAGACTCTGACTTCTACCTCACGCCCAGGCCAGCGAAGGCCTCCCGCTCTGTGGATTCCTCCACAGGCCTCTGTCTCCTCGGGTTGAGGGGAGCTGGCCCCAGGATAGCACAAAGCCCAAAGCACCAGCTGGCTTCAGGGCTTCCTCCTCAGGATCACGGTCACTTTGACAACAGGCCAATGCCAGAGAGAGAGAGACAGACAGACGGATAGGCAGGAAGGAAGGGGCAAGCTTCAGCTTCCACATTTCTGGCTCCCAGGCACGGAAACCTCAGGTTAGAAAGCAGCTGACCAGTGTCCTAAGGCCCCTATGTGCCCAGCCAGTGGCCTCTCAGTGGCCCAGTGCCCAGGCAGGGAGGGAAGGCCCTGAAAGCCGGTACTTCCGGAAATATTTGTTTCCAAGAGGAGAGAATGGCTCAATTTTGTTTTCTCGGGTTCATGAAGGCTGGGCAGCCTCAGGAGCGTGTTTGGGACTCCTGGGAGATTTCAGGACCCAGGGCATCAAAACACCCTTTTGGGGGGTAAAGTCAGCCTTCCGCTTCTGATTCCAGTCTCCTGACGCTTTGTGCCAAGCCAGCCCACAACACAGCTAGAGACCAGGGAGGGTTGGGTTTGGTTGCAGTCCATGGCCGGTCTATCTGAAGGGTTTGGTGCCCTCATGTGGGAACCAAACAGCCGTTTTGGGGAGAGGCTGGTGCTAAGAAAGGGGTGCTCACACGGGGGTGGTCCGCCGGTTCAACATGCTGACGTGCAAGCCTTCCTTCAGGTCCTGCTGGAAGAAGTCGTGCACCTGCAGGAAGCTGGCCTCCTGGCTTGGGCTGTAGCTGGCGGCGGTTGTCACCTTGAGGGGCTCCCGGGACAGCGTGTACATGGACAGCTCGCCCATGGGGATGGCCCCTGTGATCTTCAGGCCCACCGGTGACGCGTCCCTGGAGGGCGAGGCGTCGGTGGACCTGGAGCTGGACCGAGAGCGCCGTCGCCGGTACCTGTAGCTGGGCATCCTGGCGTAGGGGGACGAAGAGGGAGCCTTAAGGAACTCCCGTTTGGTCTTAAATCTCAACTCTTTATTTTTCTCAATGTAAATGTTCACGGCCAGGACACCCACCGTCTCGGCCACAATGAACGACAGGGCTCCAAAGTAGAAAGACCAGCCGTAGTTGTAATGGTTTTTTTTGTCTTCATCGCGCTTGTCGCTTGGGTCGCCCGTGTTGCTGGAAATGTAGACAATGATGCCTATGATGTTACTGAGGCCTGAAAGAGAAGGAGCAGAGGGGGCGGGAGGGGAGAGGCAGAAGTCAGACCCACAGGGCTCAGGGGACGGGGTGGGGGAGGGGCTGGTGGCCACTCCCTGCTGGGATGGGTATTGCTGGTGGCTAACTTGTCTTTTAAGTGCCTAATTTAAAAAAAAAGATTTTATTTATTCATTTTTAGAGAGAAGGGAAGGGAAAGTGACAGAAAGGGAGAGAAACATCGATAGGTCACCTTTCCCAACCCCCCAACTGGGGACGCAGGCAGCAACCCAGGCATGTGCCCTGACCAGGAATCAAACCAGTGACATATTGGTTCACAGGCTGGCACTCAATCCACTGAGCCACACAAGCCGGGGCTAATGTACCTAATTTTGAGTGGATAACAAAGTACAAAGTTCTGATGAGATATACAATAAAGCACAGGCTCTTAGCTACCCAGTTCCGCTCCTGAAGTTGGCTGCTGTTAATTGTATTTCTTTTTTTAAATTTTATTTATTTTTCTTTTAATCCTTACTCAAGGATATATTTATTGATTTTAGAGAGAGAGAAAGAGTGGGGTCAGGTGGGGGAAGGGGAGAGAGAAACACTGGTGTAAGAGCAACATCGATCAGTTGCCTCCACTATGCACCGACTGGGGATTTGAATGCACAACATTCGGTGTACAGGACCATGCTCCAGCCAACTGAGCCACCCATTTGGGACTGTCTTTCTTATATTGTTCTTACATCTAGTCTTATTTGTTCTCTCTCTCTCTCTGACACACAAAGGCAAACACACAAGTCTATTTTTTTTCTCCGCACAATACTCTGTGGCCCCTTGCCTTTCCATTCCAGTCCACCTGAGAGGCAGTTCATATCAGGACGTGAAGTGCTGTCTCTGTCTGTCTAACTGCTATAGCACCTGCTGCCTGGGCATCCAACCAGGCCTCTGCTGTGGGTGTTTAGGGACTTCCTGACCTGCTACATCCAAGGTGCCAGGGACATCTTTGTGTCCACACCATTCCATGTGCGCATGTGTACAACTGTGGGGCGAATTCCTTGCAGAGAGACTGCGCCTCATTGGGTATGTGCATTTGGACACTTAGAAAAAAACTTTTATTTTGGGATTCTTTGAGATTTATTGGAAAGTTGGGAAGATAGTACAGAGAACTCCTTCCTAACTCCCCACCCGGTTTCCCTATTAACGTATTACCACGTACATGTGTCACAACCAGAAAACCCAACTGGCACATTACTATTCACTACTTTCCAGACTTTACTCAGATTTCACAGGGTTTCTGCAAATATCCTTTTTTTTTTGGTTTCAGGATCATCCAGGACACTGTGGCATGTAATGTTTTGAATTCAGAGTCTCTGTCCCAGTGCCCTCCACAGGGACACCCAATGTCTCAACAATATTATCAAATGTCTGGATTTTTGCAATCAGGGAGGGGTGAACTATAGACATGATTGTTGTATTTATGTGATTCTCTCTTATTATAAGTAAGGTTGAGCAGAGCCAAGCTTCCTGGGTTTCAATCTTGGTTTTACCAACTATCAACTGTGAGACTTTGGGCAAATTACTCACCTCCCCATGCATCCATGTCCTTATGTACAAAATGGGAATGCCATGGTGTGCACTTTGCAGGGCAGACGTGAGCATTAAGTGAGCGAGTGCACACAGCGCTTACAGCAGCGCCCGGCCCACAGTGAGTATGCTCTGGGTTCTGTGAGAGTCTGTGGTGTTCTGTTGTCCACGCACCGCCACGTCCTTTATCCATTTTCCTGCAGCCCTGATCCCCATGTGGAGGGGTATGAATACTTCTTGCTAAGGGGACCAGGGACCCTGCCCCAGGCAAGCCAGTTGTAGGTTTTAACCCTAAACACAGGCTCTCTGTCCAACACACGCACAGGCCACAGTTCTCAGACACACATACACACACCCACCCCCCTCACAGTTCTCCCCGAGCCCCCTTGCTCACCCTGCCCCAGGCATGCTGGGCTTCTCTTCTCCTCCTGCACCCAGCGGGCCCTGTGCCCCTCACCCTGTCTCTACCTGGCCAGCTCTTTCAGTTCTTGGTGTCTGTGAGTCCCTTTGAGTTCCCCTCAGACCCCCCAACTTAGCCAGGTACCCCTGTTACAGGCTTGTGAGGCCAAGTACTGCCCCTGTGTGGCACTTTCCACACCTGGACTTAATTATTTTTTATTGAGGTTAAATTCACATAAAATTAACCCTTTAAAGGATGCAATTCAGTGGCATGTAGTCCATTCACAATGTTGTGCAACCACCACCTTTATCTAGTTCCAGAACATTTTGTCACCCTCAAAAGGTGACCCTGTTGAGCAGTTTGCTCCCCACATCTTGCCCCAGCCCCCAATGCACCTGGACTTTTGAAGTTAATCACACACAGAGACCAGGAGACCAGAGTGGGTGGCTCACCTGCAGCCACAAAGAGGATGCCGGCACTGAGGACGATGTTGTTCTTGCGGCTGTAGAACCTCCCGGCAGCGATGCAGAGCCCACCGAGCAGGAGCAGGATGGTGCTGAGGATGGGGAAGACGCTGGAGGCACGCACAATGCCTGAGCCAGTCGGGAAAGAGAGCAGAGAGGGCGGTGAGACCGGCCGCCAGCTCCCAGCCACGGCGTCGGCCAGGGGCCCTGGAGACCTCAAGGCCCAGCCCCCTGGACTTTGACTATTCCCATCGGGCCCTATGGACCGCGATGTGTTCAAAGCTGGGGCGGGATGCAGGCAGCTGGACTAGCTCGAAGTGACGGCCTGCCTTGCTGGTCACACCAAGTGGGCTGAAGTCATGTCTCACTCAGGCTCTCCCTAGGTGTGAGTCACCCTTCTGCCAGCCAGAAGGGAGGGGAGCCCCTCCATGGCACCAGGGAGGCCACAGTGACAGCTGTGAAAACTCTGGACTGCCTCCCATTCGGTCCCACAGCCCGCTGAGGGACACAGTGTCCATGGAGCCTCTGGAAGGCTGGGAAGACATCTCCTCACAGAGGCGCTCCGATGGGCAGCTGAGGACACAGGCTTTGGAACTCGGTGGGTCAGGGGACAGGCTGTGCTCTGTGACATGCTGGCTGCTGGCCGTGTGGCCTTGGTCAAGTCACTTCACCTCTAAAACTGAGTTTTCCCATTTGTGGAATGCAGTTCCTAAGAGTACCTACATCCTATGGTTGGTTTTATATGAATAGGGACTTAGCACAGGGCCTGGCCATAGCATGAACTTCCAAAGTGACAGCCTTTATCTCTGCTGTCATTATCATGGTCATCACCCCCAGTGACAGATGAGGACGTGAAAGCTCAGGACCTCCTGGGGGCACAGAGAAGGAGGCAGCCGGCCAGAGGGACACATGTGGACTGTGGCGTCCAGCAGAGATGGATTTGCACCCTTGCTCTGCCATTATGACCTGGGTTGAGTAGTAATACCTGCCTGTAAGGGGTTGAAATGTGGCCCCCAAAAGATATGTCCAGGTCCTAACCACCGGTACCTATGAATGGGAGCTTATTTGGAAAAAAGGTCTTTGCAGATATTATATTAAGGATCTTGAAATGACAGCATTCTAGATTAGGCTGGGCCTTAAATCCAATGCCGAGTGCTCTTACAGGAAGAGAGAAGACCTAACAGAAGAGGAGACACGCAGGGCAGAGGCTGTGGAAAGATGGAGGCCAAGAAAGGAGAGATGCAGCCCCAAGTTGCAGAGGGCTGGGAGCCACCAGAAGCTGGGAGCCACAAGGAAAGATTCTCCCCTTGAGCCTTGGAGGGAGTGTCCACTGACTGAAGATTCCTGGCCTTCACACTGTAAGAAGGTGAATTCCTGTTGTTTTGGTAATTTATTACGATAGCTCTAGAGAAAGGGTACCCTGCCTGTGAGGGTTGTTGCAAGAATCTGATGAAATGAGGTTCATAAAGGACTTAGTAGGGGCTTGGGAATGTGGGTCCCTCTTCCTTAGCATCTGGCCGGGAGGGCAGGAGGACGGGAGGGGGGGACGTGAAGAGGGGCCCCGAGCTCGGCCTCCTGATGTGTCTGCATGTCTCCAGCCCAGCAGAAATCTCCCGACGTGGACCCTTGGTGGCCCTGGCAGGGGACAGTGAGCCGGGAGCGCTGGCAGATGCCAACCTCCTGAGCCAGCTGAGCCAGTGTGTGGAGTTTCAGCCTCTGAAGACAGCGTTTGTCTCCTCTCCTGTAAGCCCACCAGTGTGTACCCCTGCTTCACAGAGAGTGGTTTGTTCGCGGCATTAAATGAAGCTCTTCTCTCCACAACCTCCTCTCACTCCCTGTTTTTTTTCTCACAGCCGCAGGCTCTGGGAGGAGTTTTCCTGTGGGCTTCTGAAACGTGCCTCTGCGCTGTGTGGGCCAGAAAAGCCAGCGTCAGGGCTCCCTGGATGCCTGCATCCTGCCGGCGGCTCAGGGGGGTGGACAGAAGGGAGCCCGGTGCCTTGGGTTGCTGAGGTCAGGCCTGGCTCAGGGCCATCTCGCCTGCCCAGGTAAGTCATGTGAGCATATGTCCTTTGCCCCGTGGCCTCACTCCAGAGATCTGGGTGTGCAGACACCAGCCGGGGTTGTTGTGGACAGTGGGGCAGGCTGGGATTGCACCGGGCTGGGGGACAAACAGGGCTGTTGTCCAGCCGATGTCCTGTGGCCAGGCACGCCCTGCGGCCCCGATACCAGCACTCTGAGGCTCAGCACTGACGTCATCTCCCTACCTGGAAATGTGGAACCCGGAAAAGGGGCGCCAGGCCCCGGGCAAGATGCTCAGGAGGCCCTGGGGCCAGTGGGGCAGGTAGAAAAGTGATCCCTGCCGCCCCACACCTGCCTGTGGATCTGCAAACGAGAGGGGGCATCGCCAGAGCCCAAAGGCTGGCGGGAAGCCCTGTGACAGTGACTAGCTCAACGAAGCCCGGTTCTCTGGAAGGGCTTCAGGACGCACGGCTCGGGGGTTGACTCGGTTCTTGAGCTGCTGAAGGTGGGCTGTGAGGAGCATGCCCTTGGCCCTGGCCCTGCTGGGGCTGGTGCCCCACGCCTGGACAGCCGAGCTGCAGCTCCAGCAGGCTCTCCCGCAGGCAGTCCGCTGTGGAACCTTCTGTGCCCTTCTTTGACACCCGTTCTCCATTGGGCTGTCAGCACCAGGAAGGCAGAGCTCTGTTCGCTGCTGTGTGCCACACGCGCACAACAGTGCCTGGCACGTGGCAGGCTCACAATAGCTTAAATAAGTGGAGAAATGAATTCCCATGAACGCGTGTCTCCCACAATCATCAGCCCCACCGTTCTCTCTCTCCTGTGCTTCTACATACTTTTGGGATCAATCGTCCAGACAAAGGCCACAGGAGTGCATACTGGGGCCCATGGTGTCCTAGGAAACACAGGGTAGGTGGCTGCGGCAACCGTGACCTTGGCCTGTCCTGCAACACTGCCCACTCCCTCTGGCTCCAGGCTCACAGGTACCTGCCCTCTGGCGCTCAGTGTCTGCAGCCCGAGTGGAAAAGACCCTCCTTGTTGGAGAATCGACTCTGCCCTCCACCCCGATTCTTTCAGCAGCTGGAGAGCACAGGCCCCAAATCCGTCACCCCTTCTCTTCCTGGGGAGCCTCCGGCCTTGTTGATGACCCTGGCTGGTCTCCCTGTAGAACATTTCCTTCCCCAAAGACCTTTAACTGCTGTTGTGCTGTCCCCTCCTTTTATTTGGGAAAGTCACTGCTGGGCCCGCTGGGCCCTGGGGCACCGCTGGTGGGGCGTGAGGACAGCAGGAGCCGGGGCTGGATGGCGACTGGATGGCGGCACACTCCTGGTTCCGCCCCTCGGGTCCTCCTGCCCCTACTCTGTCCTGCTCCAGGCAGGGGGGCTGAGCTGCAGATAAGTCATCGGGCTCCCTGGACTCCAGCTTCGGGAGCCCCGTGCAAGTGAGGCGGCTGTGCCTGAGGGGGCTGCACTCCTTCCTAAAGGCCACGGCTCCGCTCTTGCTCTGTTCTCACGGTTCTGCACCGGCCTCCCTCCTCTACCCAGGCCCAGGAACGTATGGGCTCCTTCTGTTGCCCATCCAGGTGCGCTCACCGTCCCTTGCAAGTTTCCCATGACCTTGTCCACACCCTTGTCAACAGTCCTGCACCAATACCCTTCATTCACTCCATCTGACCAGACCCAGACCCGCCGCTTCCTGCTGGGACCTCAGGAAACCACATGATCTGACCTCTGAGCTGATGTGTCATAAGGCCAATCCAGACAGAGATCCTAGAGCTCTGGGGACCAATGCGGGGACCGGGGGTGGGGGGGCAGGGGACAATGCCCATAATCTCAGGCAAGTTCAAATGGGAAGTGGAGAGGGTGTGGTTTGCTTCTCTACGGCCTCCTTTCTACGGCCTCCTTCCTGCAGCCCCAGGGTGGGGCCGTGGGGTAGACCTGCACCTCCGTAAGCACCGTCCCCTGCCTCCGCCGATTGCCCAGGTGGGGCAGAGAAGGGCAGGTTCTGAGCCAGGGTGGGGGGCTAGCTGGGGCTAGGCACCAGGGGCTGCCCTATGTGGCTGTGCAGGCCATGCCTTGTACTCTCGAAGGATGTCATTTATACCGCGGCCTCAGCAAGCACTGTGCCGTGGGCCACCTGTGCGGCCACGAGTGGCAGCCCTAGGGCATATCACTGGCTTGGTTCAGTGTTGGCCCCCAGAAAGCAGAAACAGAGGACAGGCGGGAGGAAGAGGAGAAGGGTGGGGGGGATGGGAGGGAGATCTGGCCACGTTATTTCAGGTTCTGGGCCTGGCTGGGGCAGCCTGACACCGCCCCAGGCTCCACTGGGACTGCATGCTGTTCTATTTCACCAGATGACTCAGAACCCCAATCCCTTCTCTTAGAGAAAAATAAAACCAAACCAAACTGATCCACTAGCAGGTGGGGAGTGAATTGTGCTCCCTCTGAGGACACGGATATCGATTCTCCATAAATGAGGCCAGGCCAGAGCCCTGAGGGATGAAAAGGGGAAAATGACTGCAACATGGTGCTGCTTTTTCCATTTCCAGGCTCCTTCCTCCTTCGGAGGCCCAGGGATGAGATCTGGCTGGGCTCAGGGCGTGGAGCTGGGTTAGTCCCTTGGGTTCTATACGTGCTGTGGCTTGCTCCATTCGGGGGCCAGCCCAGCCACAGGACATGGGCAGGGCAGGGGCAGGTAAGGCGGCTCTGCCCATCGGGGCTGAAAACACGAAGGCCCATGCATCAAGGCTGCCCGTGCTGCCTCCCTCGCCTTCTCCCACAGGCTGCCTGGCACCCCAATAGGCGTACAGTGCCACGTGATCTGATGTTTTGAGAGGCGAATGCTGGTGTGTGGGGGAGGGGTGGGCAGGCCCAGTGCGGGCAGGGGAATGTGCTCAGGTGGGTCGCGGTCCCCCAGGGATGCTGGGTCTGGACAAGCCCATGTCTGTAATCCCCGGAACCCAGGCCCAGCTGCAGCACCCACTCTCCTGATGCCAGCCACACCCAGCCGCTCTGGGGCGCGGGGACACACCCTTACCCACTCTCCCCAGGCCTCAGTCTCCCCTGGCACAGGCCTATCGATGGAGTAACTCCACTGAGACGCCCAGAATGTCATGGCAACGTTGAACGAAACTCCATCCTCTGAACCGGAAAGGGAGTGACGAGAGCATCCAGAGAAAGGCACCCCCTCCACCCCCTCAGAGCCCGTCTTTCTTCCAGCGCCCACCTGCCACCCGGCTTCCCCTCCGCACACAAAGGAAGCAAGGGGTTCTTGACACTCACGAAGGAGATACTCCGAGCTGTCATGGTCATAATCGTTGTCCTCTGGGAAGTGATTGATCCGGAAGCAGTGCCCTTTATAGATCCCTGCAGGAAACGAGAGGAGAGGGACGTTGTAACTGCTGCATGGGTTCGCTTGCCCCTTCATTCCGGACCCGGTTGCCGCGCGTGTTGCGTGTGGGCCCGGCTCTGCTAGGCCTTGGACATGGAGAGAGAAGAAAGGCTCAGGTGTCCTGGGTCTCATGGAGGGGCGGGGGCACAGGCACGCACACGGAGAAGCACCTCACGGTGGGAAAGTGCCCCAAAGGTGACCATGTCATTCAGGGTCATCTTTCGCCCACGAGGGTGAAAGGACACACTATCAGTAACTATTTGGGGGCAGACAAGAGACCTCAAGCAGGACTGTCCTGGGCAAGCAGGATGGGTACTCCCCCTTCCCAAGGGGACTGAGGAGCCGTGTCTTAAAAAATGACAGAATTTGCCACTGGGAACTGGGTGAAGGGGGCTTTCCAGGCAGAGAAGGAAGCCGTGCAAAGGCAGGGTTTGGGTCGGAGCCTGGTGAATTTTGGGGGAGGAAGGAAGTTCAGCGAGCCTTGAGCTTTGAAGGACATGTGTTTTGGGAGGGGGGCTGGGGCTGAAGAGGGGCCCTTATTGATGAGCGGCAGGGTCGTGAGTCAACTAAATCCGGATGAAAGCTTCTCCACAGCGTCTGTGTTTCCCTTTTTCTCAAACACAGTTATGGTGAGTCCCCCCCGAGGTACCCGCCAAAACCACACACAGTGGGCAACGTGACTCCAGTCCCCTCATTTGGTGTGAGGGGCAGGAAGAGAACATGGAGCGAGAAAAACTTCCGGAAAGGCCGTTATCTCCTGCCTGGTTTCCCCTCCCCATAGTGAGAAGCACCTTCACAGGGTGGGAGGCAGGACACCCTGGATAGTTTAGTAACTGCAGGAGGACAGGCCAGTTCTCCCTTCCAGAATCTTCCATCCAGCTCTCCCAGCCTCTGCCCCCTGCAGCCTGGAGACGTCCAGAACAGAAGGGACACTGGTGGCGAGGGGGGCACACAGGGTGCAGGCGCTGCCCAGCCTTCCAAGCCCTCACGCCGGGGTCGGCCTCCCTGCTCCCGCAAGGAGCTCATTTTGCCGGCCGCACAGCCAGGCTGGGACTGTTTCCAGCTGGGCCCAATTCTTGTTCTGCAGCTGCTGCCAAGCATCCTGCTGGCCCCTAGCAGCCTGGCCTGACCTCATACAATGTGGGCAGCAGGGCCTGCGTCAGACCAGCATCCACTGGTGAGCTCGGGGCACACGGCTCTTCCACCGTTTACCAATTAACTGGCTTCCCGCTGCTTTCTCGCTGTCTGCTGCCCCCAGAGAGCTAGGGTGCTGGGCCCCTGCTTCCTGGAGGCCTGTGGGGGCCACTGGTGGGTGGGCCAGGCTTGGTTAGGGATGGTGAGAGACAGAGGAGGGTCTCAGAGGTGACACCTTGCATGCTTCATGCCTTAGCTGTGTTCTCTGTGCCATGTCAAGCACGAACAACTTAGTCACCTGCTTCAGTCTCCTCATCTGTAGAACAGACATAACGACAGGCCTCATGTCCTAGGGGTTTTGCATGAGAGAACATGCAAAATGCACCCAGATGGTTCTTGGCCCACGGCAACGGCTCCATGCAGGTTTGCTGCTGTCGGACCCAGAAGTCACCCACCCTCTGCTCTGCAGGTCCTTACTCTTTCATGACTGATCGAGTTGGTAGAGAACCGCGAGTGTTTGAGATCAAGAGAAGAGAGCACTGGGACAGGCTGGGGTGGGGGCGCATGGGGGTCAGGATGGCCAGGGGTGGGGGTGCATAGAGGCCAGCGTGGGCCAGCCACACCCTCTCCTCCCTCCTGGCTCCCAAATGCCAGATTCAGCATAAGCATTTTCCAGGCCTGGCGGGCTTGGTGGAGCATTCTGCTGTTTGTTCCCCCACCCTAACCTTTTTGGGCTACTTTATGGGTCTAAACACAGTTACCAAGCCACGCATGCTTGTTGGAGCAAGTCAAACAGTAAAAGGTTGAAAAAGAAAAAAGTAATTTCTCTCCTCAAACTCGTTTTCCAGAGGTCAACAGCCGGCTATGCATTTGCTCTGTGAGCAGCCTACATACATACATGTGTGTGAGGTCGACACCTATGCTTTTAAACAATTAAACTTTTTACTTGGAGGTCTAGATTTACCCACAGTTGTAAGGAACCACACAGAGGGATCTCAGGTACCCTTTACCCAGTTTCAGCATCTTACAAAACTACAGAATCTCCACCGGATGCTGACAGGGCTACAGTGAAGACACAGAACGTCCCAGCCCCACCAGGATCCCTCACGTTGCCCTTTTATGCTCACATACCTCCTCCTGCCCCCGGCCCCTCCTCCACCCATGGCAACCACGAAGATAGTCTCCACTTGTAGAGTTCTGTCATTTCAGGAAGGATCTATAAAGGGAGTCACACAGCATTTGAGGATTGGCTCTTTTCTCTCAGCACTGCTTCACTTGAGATTCATCTAAGTCGTTTATGGATCAAAAATGTGCTCCTTTTAATGGCAGTGCACTATTCCCTGGCATGGCTGCACCGCAGTTTGACGTCTGCATTGTTTCTTGCTATCACACCTGTGGTTTCCAGCTCCGTGTTATAATGCTGCTGTGAACATGCACGTGTAGGCTTTGGGAGGAGCCTCAGTTTTCATTTCTCTGGGGTAAATGCCCAGGGGGGCAAATGCTGGCTCACAGGAGAGCTGCGTGGTTAGTTTTATGAGGGGCTGTCAAACGTGTTGAGAATGGCTATATGCTTATTTTAAAAATGGAATTATACTCTGTAGCCTGATCTTTTCATTTACTGATATATATAGACATCTCTCCAGGTCAATATCTATAGATCTTACTTCTAAGAAAACCTGTTTGTTTTAAATAAGAAACAATAAATTGATCCTAATCTGAACGTTGCTGAAAATCCTAGAAGGAAATGAATAGTGTAGGGACTAGGGGAATAAGTCTTGCTCCAACACTGAAGATGCTAAAAGAAAAATATGCTTTGACAGAAATGAGGAAACCTTGTATTTAAACTTTCATTCTGAAAATAAAATTTAGGTTTTGAGACATTAGCTTGTGTATAAACACGTTTGTTCCAAATGCTCCTCCAATATATTTTGCTAACCTCCACTCTACATTGAGGATACTATTTTATATTTGACAGAAATTGTAAGTAGAAATCACTGTCTAACATATTAACTCATCTTTAGCACTCTTTTCAGAGCTGCATAACCATCCATCATTATACTTTATCAATTCAACTGTACCTTCTCTTGGGGCTGGGCGTACACACCATGGATCCCACCACGTGGAATTATGCTCCAAAATACAGGAACTCATGCCCTTTCTCCTGTCCCTCCTCCTTCTGACCACTCTTCTGCACAGGCTAAAAGAATGGGCACTGTGGTGGGTTGAATTGTGCCCCCTCACCCCAAGGTACGTTGCAGTCCTTAACCCCTGGTACCTGTGAATGTGATCTTATTTGGAAACAGGGTCTGGAAGATGGAATCCAGTTAAGATGAAGTCACACAGGGGTGGGCTCTAAATCCAATGATTACTGCCCTGACTGCTGTGGCTCAGTGGGTTGGGCATTGTCCTGCAAACCGGAAGGTCTCAGGTTCAATTCCCAGTCAGGGCCTGGGTTGCGGGCCAGGCCGCTGGTTGGGGGTGTGCAAGAGGCAGTCGATTGGTGTTTCTTTTGCACATCAATGTTTTTCTCTCCTCTTTTCCCTCTCTCTAAAAATAATTAAAGAAAAATAAATCCAGTGAGTGGTGTCCTTACAGGAAGGAAATGTGGAGAAGGCATGTGAAGACCGAGACAGAGATTGGATTGATGTGTCTACCTGCCGAGGGATGCCCAGGAGCGCCAGCAAGCGCCAGAAGCTAGGAAGAGGCAAAGAAGACTTCTACCCAGAGCCTCAGAGAGAGGGCGGCCCTGCTGACACCTTGACTTTGGACTTCTGGCTTCCAGCATTGGGAGACAATCAATTTCTGTTGCTCCAAACCACCTGGTTTGTGACCATTTGTTATGGCTGTTCTAGGACACTAATACAGTGGTGCTGCCGTGTGAGAGGACATGCAACCTGCCTTGTTCGCTCAGCGTTGGTGTCCAGCCTTGGAGGAAGGCAAAAGTGCCCCCGCTCCCAGCCGGGTTAGGCTTTCCTGCTCCCCTGTCTGCTACAGGAGCCCACGGCTGCTAAGAAGCCATGCTTACTGCGTACCTGCAAAAGTGTCTTCTTGTTGAACATGCTGCAAGGAAACTCATGCAATGTCTCAGGGACAGGCTTCCAAAGCAACTTTGCCAGTCATCTGGTGCAGGCCTCCACCGGGGCTCCGAATCCTCTCCCCAGACCCTCCTATTAGGGGACGGCCAACACTGGGGACCTCACCACCTCCCCAAGCGTCCCATTTTCAAACAACTTTAAGTTCCTAGATCACCTGCGTCCACAAAACTTCATCCACAGGTGCTATTTATAATCCCTGGGACTAGGAGTTTCCCCTGATCACGTGTCAATGCTTCAAATCAGGGGAGAGAGGATCGTGTCTAATGGGATCAAAGCACAGCTACTTTTTCAGCTGTCCAGGGTTTGCAGGTGAGGCTCCAACGTGGGGACAACAGGCAGCCTACACACTGCCAACAGCTAGGACCACATGCCTCCCCAGCCAGACCTTGCTAATGGTCTGGAAGCCTGATCTCGATCCCATCCACCTCACCCCGCCCCCAGTATAAAGAAGTGGGAGCCGTGGGGGAGAGGGGCCATGAAGTGTCTTTGGCATGCGGAGAGAGGGGGAGATTGCTCCCTGTCCCTAGCGTCAAGAATTTGGGTATTTCTCTTAAATGACTGTCAAACATCTTCGGTTCCTCCAGTCATTTCTTTACTGATGGCTCCAAAGTCTTCTTCCCCAGCCTTGCTCCTTCCTCTGGGCCAGCTCCCGACACTTGGTGCCCAGAAGAACAAGCCACCCACCACCAAACCCAACGTGCCAGGCCAGGTCTGACCAGCCCAGAGCACAGCGGCCCCGTCCCCTC